AATGTTCATAGTTTCAACCGTAATGCCGTAGGTTTAATAGTGATGAATTAAACAAATCTAGATTGGCTCTGATACCACATGTAAACATATTTTCTTAATGATTTCAATCATGAAATCTATTCGAAAATCATCTAGATTCAATTTAATTCAACCACAAACACTTTCTTGGAGAAGAAGAAAGACTAACCTTGATCCATTGCTTGATTGGTTTGAAATGGAATCAATTCACCAATTGATTTCTTCCTCCCTTTGACCTTTCACTATCACGATCCCTTTTTGATGGAGAAGGAATCAACTCCCTTCTCTATTTGTTTGTTTGATCGTTGTTCTATCCTTTTACAGAAAATAGAACGTGTCCTTTTAAGGTTTCTTTTATGTGGGTTTTATACATTTTGATAAGTTGTGATGTTTCATCACAAAACCCACATAACCACCTTTTATGTAATCAGCACTTATGGATATATATTGTATATATAAAGCATCACCCATATGTAGTTATAATTATTACTTTATTAACTACGATGCAATATACATATATATATACAAATATTAGAGAAAGATCTTTACTATATAATAAGGTAAGGGAGGAGAGTTATCAATACACCCGAATTCTAATATCTTTAATCGAAACCAATCCATCATGGTATTATTGTCTTTTATATTAGAATCCTTAACTTTAATATGAACTTGATCTTTAATAATTAAACTGAAAGACACACAGGTCACATAAAAATATAAATATTCTTACAAAACTAATAAAAAATTGGTGCTCTCTCACATGTTTGATATATATATATACACTACGTATCATATAACCAAGACAACCTACAACTTAGCTGCAATAGGGTTATTTTTGGTTTACGAAAAAACAAATAGTACAATGTCCACTAACCTAAATATGGTATAATGTGTGGATATCGGGTGAAAATATAAAATAAAATAGATGTTTTGTTTTTAGTTGAAGTTAATGGACAAAGTTATTCATCTGCACCAAGTTATTGACACACATCATATAAGGTGTGATTTATTTATATAAACTTCAAATAGTGAATCGATCGTACGGTAGAGGAGAAATTAATCAAATTGATCAAACTGTAGACAAGTGCGGTTCATGTGGAATAGTGAAACACAAATTGAATAAAAGTTGAAGGATTATCTAAAGAAATGGGATGTAGGTTAAATTTTTTTTTAAAAAATTTTTAAATGTATAACGAGAATTTGAATTTGAATCTATAAAAAAAATTCAAATTCTATAACGGGCCAACGACCCAAAAGCCCAAAAGAGGAGGGCATTAAACCGAAACTGACGAGGATTCGAACCCTTAATTTGACAAACCAGAGAAAACCGGTAATAGACCAGAAAAGAATAAGAAGTAACTATACCGGTCTTGGTACTACACTAACACTAGAGACAGTGGAAGAGTCGGTCATTCCTCACTTCACTACTCTCATCAAAAATGGCGGAAAGTGACGATAGCGAATTCGGCAGCGTCACTTCATCCCAGAAGTCTTTCCTAAACCACTGCCCTTTCGCCGACCCTAACTCCGTTCGTCCGACTCAATCTTCCGACGGAGAAGTGCTCGAGACGGTTTCGGACAACACTGAGGTTCTCGGTAACCTAATCTCGCCGCCGGTTGTCGTAACTCCGGTTATCTCTTATTCTTCTCGGACCAGTGTCGATTCCATCAACGATGACGTCTTCCGTACTCCTCCTGAGAACCCATCTCTCTCCTCTGCACCTGATTCCCAAACCCGAGTTAGGGTTTCGGAATTGAGATCCCCGTCTTCGCCTGTTTCTGCTTCACCGTCTCTTCCGGTGGTAAATGTTAGGGTTTCGGAGATGACGAATCGTCGTTCTGATTCCGTGGAGCCTCTCTCTTCTCCGTCCCCTGTCACGGCCGTCGATGCTAGGGTTTCGGTAAAGCATCTCGATTCTTCTTCTTTTCCTGGAAGAATCAGGGTTTTTGAAAATCAACCAATATCTGATTCTGAGGGAGTTTCGAGATCTCTTTCTCTTAGC